ATCCTTGAACTAAGCCATGATTTAATGTAGTACACTGTGTGAGCCCAACCACTGACACTTTTTCAATAAACCATATTTTTTTTTAAAATAGCAGCACTGCAAAATATGAATCAAATTGAATGTGTGGGCTATATGGCTGAGGATTATGGGAATGTAATTCAACACCCCTGAAATGAAATTCAACACCCATTTAAAGGCTTCAGATTAGAGAAAACTAAACTCAAGAGAGCAGTAGGTCCAGAAATCACAGCACTATTAGGACTTCATATGGTTAAAAATGTATGGGTAGGGTTCAAACATAATCTATATGGGTGGAACGATAGACATTCTTGTATTGAAAAGTGGGTGTGATATGCATACAGAGTGACCCAAGCAAATAGTTATTGGATTCTTATATTGCAATAAACTGTAATGTAATTTATTTCATATCGTTTCCCCCCAAAGGACTGGGTTCTGCCTATCTGAATGTCTGCCTCTCCCATTACCAAACCAGTCTAAAGGTGAAGCCATTGTGAAGAGGCTCATTTGTTTGACATGCCTTTCTCTGGCTCACTCCCAGGTTAAAGAATGCATTTCTTCAAATGAAATGTTTTTTTTCTAGTGTCTGGTCATATGTGCAATATGTAGGAAATTTCCAAATGTTCATACAGTCAGGTATTGTGGTTTTTTTTTTTACTGTGAGCTCCAGCTCAATAGACATTTCCCCAAATTCAAAAATAACAGAGCTTTTAGGAAGGAAACAGATGACATGCAAGAAAGAAGGGCAAGCAAGCACGGAGGTTTAGAACTTCCCTGACGCACAAGAGTGAGTATTGGTGAGAATAGACACAAAGAAAGAAAAAGCTGATCTGGCTATCAAACTTTTTCTAGCTTTCCAATAATTTTGTTCTTATCTCTTTACCTAACTTGATTGGAATTATAACATTCATTCCACTAATATGAAGAGTTTTACTCTAGTCGTTCTCCTGATGCTTTCTCCTGATGCTTCTGGAAAGTTGGTGGTTCTATTCTACCAGCTTTATCCTAGTCATTGTAACTTCATTTAAATAGTAAAAAAGAAGGGAATGGACAATGTTTTGGTATTAATAGGCTGCATTACATGGGTTTTAGGGTTATTTTTCTTGGGGTGGGGTTTTTTTTTTGGAGGGGGGAAATCTTTCTCTTTTACTGCTTTAACCCAATTTTGGAGTTTATCATTTTTGTATATATTTTTTCCTCTGTGGCAGGAAAGCACATTACCAATGTTGGGTAGAAGGGCCTCCAAAGAGTCTTTACAAAGGAGGGAGAGCTGTGGACTGTATGAGTGCCAAAGATACAGACTGTATGCCTTTGCTGTGTACCATGAGACTTACGTGGGAATTTCACACATTCCTGTGCCTTTAGCATTAGAAATCAAGAGGGACAAAGCATGTTTTCATAAGATGCCATGCTTGCTTCCTCTCAGACCATAAATAAGTTATATGTCCCCTACTTCCAACCAGGAGATAAACATGTGCCGTGCCTGAGAAGTGTCCATTTGCACATGTGGAACTCTGGCTGTGTAGTTCCTCAAAGAAATAACTGGATGTGTATTGATACAAGTGTGTATCAAAACCCACAAAACAGGATGAAGTTTGAATGAGGGACTGCAGAGAACAATATACTGTTTTGATGGCAATGCTTTATTATCAGGCATGGGTTTCGACATGGCAACAATGTGAAGCTTGCCTTTTTCAGAAATGCTGCCTTGGCAATTCCCAGCTTTTATACTGCTGATAGATGGAGAACAATGTTACCAGTTGTCTTTCAACTATGACCCCAGCTGCAACATGCAGCATATAAAACCAATCTTTTCTTATGATTTTCTGGATTGGATTGCATCAAATAAATACTTCCAAACTCAGTAACTTTAAGAGGTAACTTCATCCAATAAAACAGCTGCTGATATATATGAAAAATTGCAGCAAAATTCAATAGATATATTTAGAAACAAAAAGAAATCACAGCCATAAAAGATCTTGAGATGATGCATTTTGCCTCTTTGTGAGACACAATGAATCAGCCCTCTCCATACATACATGACTATTAAGACCACAACACAGAGAAGGCAAGTTCAGGTTTGTGTATCAAATAAGCTTATGTTGAGATAATTGTAATACAGTCTGTATAGGACCATCCTTGCTCTTGATCGGGAAAGCCACAGAATAGAGTGGAGAAGTTACCGAATGGGGAGTCTGCTTGTGCCCAGGGCACCCCTAACTGTACTGAAGCATCTGCAATGATTCAAAGATTTGGTTTTAATATCTTAGGACCAAGACTCTGATTAAATGCTTTTTTCCATTATGGTTAGTTACTGAAGATCATGCTACAAGGGCTGTTCAATGTCATTAGGTAACAGGTTTTGTCCAAACTTTGAAATGCTCATCCCTCAAATTCAGGAAGCAGCCATCAGACTAGAGTTGATCAAATGATGTTTCACAGAATGTTCCAAAATAACTCAATAAAACAATAAGGGAGAAAGGATTCACTTGAATGTAACCAACTNGTTTCATGGGTTATGTTTCTTCTTCCTTGGTACTTAGATCTATACAACTGGATCTAGTTTCTTGTACTGTAAGGCAAGGATGTAAACTTAAAAACAAAGATACTAGAGGCAGAGCAGGCAAGCAAGCAAGCATATATATAAGAAATGTCCTGCTGTATTAACACTGAGGTAATTAGAGAAACACCCTGCCTCCAATACAGGAGATAATAGAAAGTTGTCAAGACTACTCAACAACCTTAGCATCTGAAAAAAAGAGGGGAAAAAATCTCTCAAAAAACAGAAACCTTCTATTTTTGTTCAAAAAAAGAAAAAAGGATCATGTATTATTATAATACGCTGTTTAAATTAAATATATGAATATACTGTATACAAAATTACACTATTTGTTAAAAGTCCAGAGATGAAGGGGGCAAACATTGAGAGATGTCCTTTAAAATGGTGCCAGAGACACCATTCAAACACACAAGCAATCAGCAGGCACAACATTGTTCTAGAAAATATGCTTAACAAAACTCTGTGGAGATATTTGTTCCAAGTTATAACCTCAGAGAGGCTCCTGTCTACAAAATATAAGTTGAAGAAAATGTAATTCCCTTTTTTGTTACCCTATATGCCACAGTTAGCCCTGGGAAGCATAAATTCAGAAATACTAAATAAACAACAACCCAGGTCTAGGAACTCTTTACAAGTTTTCCCAAAGTTTGCAAAGGAATTGCTTTGAATAGCAACAGAAAAGCATTAGAGAAAGTGAAAAACTTAGGCCAATCATAATCAGTTCCCTGTGCAACAAATTTCTACATGAAAATTACAAGTCATAACTTAACATGTGGCATACACATGCAAAAGCCCAATGCTTAGCATTTGTAGGGCTGATTGGTGGGGCCTTCGGCACCCGCTGGCATTTTGGCCTCCTTGCAATCTTATTACTGTTCCCACCACACCCTTTCCCTCATATGTACACTTCCAAGCAAGCAGGCTTACCCAGCGGCATATTCACCATTATATACTTGCTATCACAGGATGCAATTTATCATATAGTATGTGAAGGAATTGGCTTAACTGAAGATGATAAAAACTGATTAAAGTGCCATCCTCTGGCACATTCATACCTGAGTTTGAAAATCAAATGTGTGGGGAAAAAAAGCTGCTCCAGAACTGACCGCACCACAAGAAACAGAAGTGAGACCTGTAAAGGAATCAGCCCAAGAGAGCTGTTGTAAAGTATATGTGTGTCCAGACGAAGAATTTGACAGTACGTGATGCAATTTCAAGAAGATGGATATCTAAGGTCATGATCACATAATAAATATGTCCTGGCAACATTTTTCGATGCTTGGCCTTTGCAATATTGCCTTCATCTCATCCTTCAGAGCACAAATGAAATAAGTTTAAGTCATCTTCAGTTGTAAAATTTATTAGAGTCTATCTCCCATTACTTTGGAGGGAATCAGGGCAGGAATAAACAATAAGGGTAGCAAAGTGTATGCTGGCATTGTTTACAACTGACTCAGTGGTGAGTGGGTGGCACTTTAACGTGATAATGGAAGCCTTAAGTACTTCTCACGAAGTCACTAAGAAACGACAATATTTGTATTTTGTTATAATTTGTATTGTTATAATTTATAGAACTTTCTGAACATTCACTGGCTTGGATCATTGAACCTACAAAATATGAACTGAAATCTAAACTCCAACATCTTTTTAAAAGACATGTATTAAAAAATCCTGAAGTATGGGGAGAGAGAGGGGAGAGAAACCACATGGTTCCAAATACTTCAATGTATCCCTGATCTGGGAAGATGCTGAATGAATCTAGGTTAGCTGGGTGCTATTATCTGAAAGGGAAAGTGTCTTTTTTTAAGTTTAGTTCAGTACATTCTAGTTTTTGAGATATTAAACCAAAACAAAAAATACATGAAGTATCAAGCCAAAATCAAACAAGGGCATATTTCTAATGGCAAAAATTTTTGCAGAATTTCCTTCTTTTTGTTGCAGCATTTTTTTTTAAAGGAAACTAGGTATCTTTTAAAAAGAACCATATAATTATATTATGCTCTTTCATCTTATTCATACCCTGGAGTTATCTATAACTAAGGCATATGATAGTGATTATATCACTATTACTATATTATCACTCTATTACTATATTAGTAATATCAGATAAAACTAGCATTTCTTTAGTCAATAACCTATTCCTTTCTGCACTAATGTTTGTTATTGTTCAACATGTTACATTATAATTCTATGGCAGGATCACTGATTTTTATTTTCAAGTTCAATCGTCAGAAAAGGCAGGCAACTATGACACAACTTTTGAGTCTTGTCTCACAATTTACAATGATCATAATTGTGATGCTGGACCATTGGAAAGGCAGAATAAATGTCAGATGTAGGCTGTGTCTTTCAACACAGCACTCTTTCTCAATCTTGGCAAAATTGAAGATGTGTGGATTTCAGCTCCCAGAATTCCCCAGCTAGCATGCTGGGAGTTGAAGTCTACACATCTTCCAAGTTGCCAAGGTTGAGAAACACTTGAACTAAGGAACGAGTGACACTGACAAACCCTGTCAACACGAAGGAAAAGGGAAAGGCTGCTTCTGAGACTATATTCTTAAAGTAGCTCCTGTAACCGGCAGGGGTGACAAGATGAGCAGCAAAGCAAAATCTCCAGTCGACGGGACCAAAGCCAAGTGGCAGAAAGTCGTATTCCCACCCTTCCTGGCAGAGGGATGATTCCCAGGTTGGGCACTGACACCAGGGAACTGTGGGAAAATATGATGTCCGGAGAACGAGTGTGTGTTAGTGGGGGACGAATCGTACAGGAAGCGAGTCAACGTGTCCTCTGAAGCCTGCAGGACGCGATGGGGAGGGGAGAGGAGATGGAGGGGGCTCTCCCACGGCAGACGAAATACTGAGGCGACCGAAGCAGCATCGCACCGCTAAATGGGACCAGCAGAAGCCATGAAGTGAGAGTTGGGGCCCCATCGAAGGAGTTTCCACACGAGAACCTTTTGGACGCGAGCGAAACTAAACCACCAGAGAAACCTGAGACCGGACGCGGAAAGGGATATCTTCGCGGTAATCCTTCCTCCTCCTCCTCCTCCTCCGCCGTCCCCGGCACCCCCTACCTGTTGCGCGGTCCTTCGGCCGCTCCAGCCCAGCCGATCTCCCTGTCGCTTGGCCCCCGGGAGCAGCCGCGGCCCGGAGCTCAGCCTCGCCCACCCCGAGTCGCCGCCCTCTCTCCAGCCCGCTTGCCGTTCCCAGCGCCCCCTTTCCGCCACCGAGCGTACTCAGGGTTGGAGGCGGCAGGTCGCAGCCGCGAGTTGGCCGGGCAGAAGCAAAGTCTAACGTTGACGTATTGCAACGGGTAAAACCGACTACCCACCCAGGCTCGTTCCAGAGGCGGAGGAAGAGAACTCAGCACGTCCTCAAAAGCCCTGAAAATTAATCTCCGGACTCCTGTCTAGCGGCGCGGGGTGCATGGTCAAGGGCCTCCCCTTAGCATCAACCTTTAATATCACCTTTCATCATTTCCACCACATTTCTCAAAACAACTGGGCACGCAGAAAAAGCATAATTCTCGGAGGGTCGAGATATGTAGCTCTGGCTAGAATAATCTAGTAAAACATTCCCAGTGGGGCCTTTGATTTGGACTACAGTATTTTCTTTGACCTGCAGATTTCTCCCCCCACCCCTTCCCATTCCATACTCAGCTTGCTTTTGAAACTTCTGGACATCAGAAAAGATTGGCACAGAGAGCGGCTGTTTGGGGGGAAAAACATCAAACCCAATGTGGCATGAAGAATTGGCCAAGATCCACGTTGGTTTTTAGAGATCAAAATCAAAGCCACCTTATTATAGCTTAGTGGGATGTATGAAATCACCCTGTGTAAAAATAGGCAGCATGGGAGTGCTGCTGCAGTAAAAGTAGCCATGGGAACAGTAAAGGCATTGAGTCATTATTTCAGCTGCCATATATAAATGGCATACCATATTATTAAAGAAAAAACTCCTACTTTTCAATGTAAAAAACACTTCAGGCTCCAATAATAAGGATGTAAAAACTATGAAGTTCCCAAACAGAAAAGCTTTCACAGTTCTTGCTTAGTCAATAGGATTGGCTTAGAAAATGTGATTGATCTTAGAGTCATCTTTGATTTCTGTTGTATCACAATTCAAATAGGTGTGTGTTTGAGCCAAGGTGGCGCAGTGGTTAAATGCAGCACTGCAGGCTACTGCTAGATCAGCAGGTCAGCGGTTCAAATCTCACCGGCTCAGGGTTGANATTGTATTGTATTGTATTGTATTGTATTGTATTGTATTGTATTGTATTGTATTGAGTAAGAAGGCTCAAATAGATTTGGAAGTGTCCCAACTCATAAATATTGATAATCTAGCACAGAAGCTACTGCCTTCCAAAGATATAATAATACAAGTCAAGTTGGCCTTGCAGCTTAGAATTATAGAGTGACCATTGTGCAAACTCCATCTTTATGCAAGAATCCAAACTATAACATTCATCACAGAATCCAGTATTACTTTTACTATTTTGACAGCAGTCAACCTGTCATGTCTAAAGTGTTTAAAAAAACCCTGCACTATGATGACTTTGCTAAGAAAAAGATTCAATCAGCTGCATAAGAATAATGAGCAATAATGAGCAAAAAATGATGATTATAACTTATAAGGACCCTCTAGCTACTGTAACATAGAAAATGCAATTTAAAAGATTGTTCAAAGAGTTCCATATCTTATATTAATTACACAAATAGATACATACAAAAAGTAGAACAATATGTGCTTACTATAACTTTTCCTATATTGTATATTTTCCTATATTGGCGAGTTACAAGAGGGTTAAGCCTTGGGATCCTTTTCATTGAATAGATTGTCTTCTGCAGCCAGCCCTCCATTATGTTTGGTAGGCTGGCTCCAAAAACTGTAGCTTATTCCACGATAAAACATCAACAGATTGTTGTCTCCTCAGGAACATCTGCTTGCCAATCTTTCTTCCAAACTACCGCCTAGAGGGAGGAAACAATCTCTCAGCTTCATCCGGCTGCCTCATTAGAGAACCCAGCCTTCTATCCTAAACAGCAAACTGTTCCCAGATTTCTTGCCTCCAGCTTCCTTCTTTTGACCAGCAATATTCAGTCCAAGTATAACAGGCCAGTGTGCTGCAGGAGAAGGCAATCCAGGGGAGAGGAGGTGGGGAAGCATATTATGTGCCTTGGCCTACAGCTGAGTCATCAACTTTAAATCCCTGCCAGTACTCCTCCCCTCTTATTTCAGGGACATCCACAAATGAAGAAATAGTAGAAGAATCCGTATCATCCTTCTGCTGTATAGGTTCAGAGAGATTTATTATATATGCAAGATGACTGGATTACTCTGGTCTTCAGAAGACCCTGATAGCCCTTCATTGAATTTAATTTTCCATGGTTCCCTCAGCAATACTAATCAAAAACCCTCACCACAGGTTTAGATTATCCTTTGCAGTGCTTCCATTTCTTCTGCCAAAAGTGCCGCGACCATCTTTGAAAATAACACAAGGCACCTGACAAACTCCATCTTAGTGGTAAACATTTATTTGATCCAGTCACTCTCGATCCAGCCTATCTCTAAGACTTGCTATCGCGAGGATAAAATGAAGAGATTTTCCTTGTATAAGTTATTTAACAGCTCCCAAAAGAAAAAACAGGATATAACTCTAACAAATAAATGAAAATAAATAAAACACATTGGTAAAGGACCAAATTGAAAAAGGGTTCCACAAATGTTACCAACCCTTAGATTTCAAAGTTTATGAGCATTTCCACACAAATTCAATACCCATTTTGAACCAGTTTCAGACCTCTGGAATCATATAACATCAGTTAATACATGAACTGAGTCAGGTTTTTTTCTTTGCCTCTGAAGCCTGGGAGTCATCTTTGAAACAATGCAGCTCTATAAAGTTTGTGTAAGCAACCCCAGCATCATTGCCTCCACGCACCTTAGCAGGTCTTTTAAGGGGGAAAGGTGGGTTTCGTTTTTCCAAGACCTATGGAAATATAGAGAAGGATCTTTTTTCCCCACAGTTGTGAGCTGGACAACAGCAAAGGCAATATTAGATAGCTTTTGGACTTAACCACTATTAGCTAACACCAAACCTCCCATAATTCTTATTCTGCAATTAGGGATTGGCTGCATCAGTTTAACAGGTGAATATACCAGGAAAGCATAGAATAGAAAATAAGTCCTTTCTCCCTTTCCCACTTAGGAAACTTGCCCTAGTCACAGAATAACCTTCTCTGACTCTTGCTCCAGTCCCCTTACAATATTCTTCTTAAGTATACGGAAATACTATAATGTTATAGGTCTCTGCAACTTTGATCAGTTTTTGTGAAGTTTAACATTATAGAAGGAATGCTGGTGTGTATGCCTAACAATGTCCCCATCCTTGTCACTTGAATCAGCCCTTCCAAATTGGAAAAAATATGTATTGTAGGCTCCTACTCAAACTGAATGCAAGCTGAATTAACCATATGACTGGCAAACCTGATTCCCAGATAATGAGGATGCTTATCAAACATTAAAATTGACAAGCACAAGACAATTATTAAAAAGAACCTAATTTGCCAGGGAATTGACTAACTACTTATTAATATGCAATAATAAACAGAGTTGGCATGTCCAGAAGAACCAATCCATCCCCAGAAAAATATTATTCTTCAGTCATGCTAATAAGGCAATCTTTCGTTCAAATTATAGCTGGAATACAAATTCATGCATGTTCTAGCAACATTTCCAGAGCTATAATAGCTGTTTGATTATTAATCCCCCCCCCCCAAGCAGAGATAACATGGTGGGCAACATGTGCAGGGATTAGACCAATTAAGGTTTTAACGAAAGGTCTAATCACTTATTTTCCTAGACGAATGATCCATGTCTCCTTCAATGAATCAGTACATGTACATAGTTTCATATATGTGTATATGTGCATTCAGAATTTAAGCACTATGAGAGACAGAAACAAAACTGTGACTTCCTAGTTAGATACTGCATCTATAAACTATCTCCCAATTGTGTTGTGATAAGCTCTCAATTTTTCTTTCATGTGTTCCGCATTTGGAAAACAGCATTATGTTAGGATAAATACAGAATGATGGACAAGAAAAGCTTGCCATGATATTAAACACAAATGAAATAAATAACTAAGAATGGTCAACAAAGCCAACAGAGTTCTAGGCTACATAAACACAGGGATAGAATCAAGATCACATGAAGTGTTAATACCACTTTATAATGTCTTGCTAAGACCACACTTGGAATACAGCATTCAGTTTTGGTCACCACGATGT